CCCGCCGCTCAAGCACCTGTGCGATGTGGCCGCGGACGGCGACGAGGAGGCGGGGGACGACGAAGCGGACCTGCTGGACACTTCGGACCCGCCGGGGGGCGGCGAGAGCACGGCCAGCCTGGAGGATCTGGAGGACGAGGAGACGCACTCGGGGGGCGAGGGGGCCGGCGGGGCGCGGGGCCTGGGCGGCGGCGCGGGCGGCACGAGCAAGACCTGCACCTACGAGGGCTGCAGCGAGACCACCAGCCAGGTGGCCAAGCAGCGCAAGCCCTGGATGTGCAAGAAGCACCGCAACAAGATGTACAAGGACAAGTACAAGAAGAAGAAGAACGACCAGGCCCTGAGCTGCGGAGGGGCCGCCGCGGCTGCCAGCGCGGGAAGCGTCAAGCTGGAGGTACGGACCGAGCGGGGGTCCCCCGCCAAGCCCAGTCCCAGGGCCTCGCCACCTCCCGGGGCCGGTCCGCGCTCCCCCAAACCCAGGTTTACACTCACCCCCTCTGATTTGAAACGGAAGTGTCATAAAGCAGCCTGCCTTGTCATTTCAGAGAACACGAGGGTGAGCTGGTGGAGATCTCTATATCATCACCAAAGGGCCAGACACACAGCCAAATACTTTAGAAAAGGTCATCCCTTGCTGGGGACGCAGAGCATTACCTGTTGCCTTGTTTAACCTACAGGTCAACAGTTCGAATCCACCAGCTTCCCCTCGAGAGGCAGATGGACAAGCCTCTCCCCGAAAGGTTTCCCGCCTTGTAAGCCCGATAAAGAGGTCGAATCCAGGCCAGGGCAGTAGTTTTGGGTTTAGTCTCAGGCAGGGGGCTTGGAGCAGTACTCAGGCACTCAGCTTCTAACAAAAAATCAGTGATTTAATTAACCAGCGCTCCGTAGACAGAAAGATGGGACAGTCTAAAGATTGTTCTTGGTAGGTGCCGTAGAGTCCAGTACAATTCATAGCGACCCTATGAACAAAAGAGCTGAACCCTGTTCTATCCTGTGCCGTCCTCACACTTCCTAACACACAAGAGCCCGTTGCTTCATTTTGCCACTTCACCTGGTTGAAGGGTCTTTTCCTTCGCTGCCCCTCCACCCTTCCCAGCATCTCCAAGGAATGAAACCTCCTAGCAACATCTCCAAAGGCGAAGCCTTAAACTCTGCTCCGTATGGTTTCTAAGAGTTGGACTCTCTGGATGGGTAGGAATTTTATTCTCAGTATCCTCTTTTCAGTTCTCCAGTCTTGAGTGTTCTCCTCTCACTCTGCTCTATTTTAGTACCAAAATATTAGGACCTCACAAGAGCAAAGTTCATACTGAAGCCTCAGTCTGAATGGTATTGAACCATAATATTGAATTATGTGAAACCTATACCTAGACCAAGAGTGTTGCACAGAGCAAGGGAACACTACATGGTTTAGAATTAGGAAAATACGTATCAGGGTTGTATCTTTTCTCCATATATAGTCAGTCTGTATGCTGAGAAAATATTTGAGAAGTAGAATGTGGCATCAGGATTGGAGGAGGATGCAGCAGTAACCTTTGTATGCAGGTGATACAACCTTGCTTGCTGAAAGAGGACTGGAAGCACTTGGTTCAGTCTACAGATCTTCAAGAAGATCAAAGACTATAACCGTCCATATGGATTGTCTCAACATTAAGAAAACAAAAATTCTAACCATTGATCCAATAGGCAATATCATGATAAAAGGAGAAAAGATTGAAATGGTCAACAGCTTCATCTTACTTGAATCCACAGTCAGGACACTTGGTACCAGCAGTCAGGAGATCAGGAGACATTGGGGTCTACAGTCAAGGATCTCTATAAATTATTGAGGAGCACGGATGTCAGTTTGAGGACTAAGGGGAACCTGATTCAGGCCATGGTCTTTTCAGTCAATACACATCAAGTGAATAGAGATGACAGACGGATCGATGCCTTAGAACTGTGATGCTGGAGAAGATTACAGAATATCCAATGGACTAGCAAAAGAACAAACAGATATGTCTTGGAGAATGTGCCGAGTACTCCTTGGAGGCAAAGGTGATAAAGCTTTGGACATGTTGCTAGGAGAGGTTATTCCTTTGGAACATCATGCTTGGAAAGGTGGAGTGGTAATGAAGTTAAAAATTTTCTACCTTAAAATGTTGGTAAAATAATCTTTTACCAAATCTAAGATTATAAAGAATTAGAGAAACAAACATTTCAATAAAACCAAATCCACTGGTCTTTAATCGATTCTGACTAGTAGCAACCCTTCATAAAGTTTCCAAGGCTGTAAATTTTTACAAGAGAAAACTACCTTCCTCCTTCAGAGCAGCTGGTGGATTCAAACTACTGTCCTTTGATTCAGTAGCCAATTTGCTGTGCATTATGTATGTCACTAGAGCTCCTTAAGCAAATTGATAGAGAATAAAAACCTCCAAGATTGTTTTAGAGAAACTGTTGTTAAGTACTGTCAAGTCAGAACCAACACATTGGTGACCTCCAGTGGGTTTTCAAAGGTTGTAAATTGCTTGAGATGTTGCCCATTTTCTCTGTTGGAGGAGCTGGTGGATTTGAACTGTGCATCTTTGGAGTGGCAATGAAACTTAACACCAGAACTCCCTTAGACGACATTGTTCTATACTGTCCAGTCAGGACGAACTCATAGCTGCCCCTCCAGTGGGTTTTGAGAGGCAGTAATTCACACGGGAGTTGATTGCCCCGTCTTTCTCCCACAGATCAGCTGGTGGCTTCCAATCATGTGCTGTTGGTTTGACAGTGCATTTCCTTAGCACTTGGCCACCAGAGCTGCCTTTAGAGAGACAAGATAATGCTTTTTGAGGAGGAATTATTTTACCCGTGGCAATTTTTCATTTTTTTTACTATCAATATTTACACCTACAAGTTGAGAAAAGTATAAAAAGGGTCAATAAATACTGAATTACAGCCTCAAAAAGTCTTAATAATTTTTCTCTTGTTATGTGCTGTCAAGTTGCCTGTGACTCATAGCGACCCTATGTACAAGAGCCCTAAACCCTGCTCTATCCTGTGCCAATCTCACTGTCTCCAACACACCTACCTCCATTACCCCAGTCACTGAATCAGTCCACCTCGTCGAAAGTCTTTCTCTCCTTTGCTGTCCCGTCACCCTCCCAAGCATAATGTTCCTCTCCAAGGATTGGTCTCTCTTTGCAACATGTCCAAAGTATGTCAGATGAAGCTTCAGAATCCTTGCCTCCAAGGAGCAGCCTGGTTTCACCCTCTCTATGTTGACCCTGTTCGTTTTGTTAGCAATCCATGGTATATTCAATACTCTTCTCCAACACCACAGCTCAAGGACATCAATTCTCCTTCTGTTATCCCTAGTCATTGTCCAGATCTCTGATGCATAGCAAGTAATTGCAAAGACCATGGCCTAAGTGAGAATAATTTACATGATTTTTCTTCCCCCTGTGGGTAGCACAGATGGTCTGTACTAAATGGTTCAAATCCATCTAGCAGTGCCTTGAGGGGGAAAGACCTGGTAGGTACTTTGTAAGAATCAGAAACATATGTGCTGGTGTGGATTTGAGTCTAACTCAGGGTGCTCTCCTATGTACAAAACATCTGAGCTCTGTGGGGTTTTTCTGGTGTAATCTTTATGGCAAAAGCTCACGGGGTCTTTCTTCCACTGTCACTAGAGGGGTCAGTCTGCCACATCTTAGGTTAGTAGGGAGCTTTGCTGGCTTAGCAATAAGCAGTTGCACTGCTAACACAAAGGTACACAGTTTGAATCCACCAGCTGCTGCCCAGAAGAAAGATGGGTACTCTCCTTTGTGATTTGTTGTTGATTGCCTTCGAGTTGAGCATAACTCAGAGACCCAATGAACAAAAGGCCTGAAGCCCCTCTATAACTATCAACATTTATTGAAATTTAGTAGAGTTTCTGAAGGCATGTTGTTTATTTTACTGCCTCTGAAAGTGCCAGAGAGTCAGCTAGGGCTCACTTCCAATTTCCTGTCACAGTACCCAACAACAACAGAACTCAAGCCATTTGCCCCACTCAGTGACCTTTCTCTAAGATTGTTGTGTACTGACTATCACTGCCCCTCCATCGGGTTTTCAAAGGCACTTAATCGCACCGCAGGAGATTGTCCATCCTTCTGCAGAGCAGAACCACGACCCTCTTGGATTGCAGCTCAGTTTGTTGCCACTACGCCACCAGAGCTCCCTTCTCTAAGGTTACATTCAGTGACAACATTATAACCACAGATCTGTTCACACACATGGGGTTTCCATAGCAATGAATTTGGTTTTTGGTGTTACATAATTTTTTTTAAGGGAAAAAATCCTGTGACAAGCTACAAATAGCTTATTATACCATTAGTCGTCTGTTGTGTTGTACGTTAAAATTTTCTGAGAAAGCGTAAAGTGGAACTGATGACAGAGCCAGTCAGGGTAAACATCCCACTCATTAAACTCAGAATCAGCTCCTTCATAGCAGACCCTCCTTTGGGTTTCTGAGGTGGTAAATCACACAAGAGATTGCCCATCTTTGTCCCTCAGAGCTGCCGGTGGACTCGAACTGCTAGAGAGGCCGAGCCTTGTGTGAACAGTGTGCAGACTGCACCACGGAAGCTCCCTAATCAGCGTAGAAAAGTTGCTGCTTTAATATGTCAAAGGCTGGCTGAGGTTGCTCTGAAAGGCTTTTCAATTGTCACCACTGGATCAATCGGTAGCATCAGGATGGATGGTGAAGAGATTGAGATTGTTCAAAGCTTCAGTTTGCTCCACAGTCAACAGTCTTGGCACCAGTAGCCAGGAAATGAAAAAAACGTATTGCTATGGGAAAGTCTGCGGTTAGGGACCTCTCTAAAGTACTCAAGAGCAGCGGTGTCTCTCTGGAGACTAAGGTGCGCCTGATACAGACCATGGTTTTTACAATCACTTGTTATGTCAGAGAGTTGGACAATGACCAAGGAGGATAGAAGGAGAATTGACGCCTTTGAGCTGTGGTGCTGGAGAAGAGTATTGAATGTTCCATGGACTGCCAAGAAAACAAACAGATCCATCCTAGAGAGGGTTAAACCAGGCTGCTCCTTGGAGGCAAGGATTCTGGGGCTTCGTCTGACATACTTTGGACATGTTATAAGGAGAGAGAGGTCCTTGGAGAGGGACATCATGCTTGGGAGGGTGGAGGGACAGCGCAGGAGGGCAAGACTCTCTGGTGGATTGATTCAGTGACTGGGATAATTGGGATGGGTGTGTCAGGCAGTGCGATTGGCACAGGACAGAGCAGGGTTTAGGGCTATTGTACATAGGGTCGCCATGAGTCGCAAACAACTCGACAGCACATAACAACAACATAGACTGGAAAGGAGAGCTGAATCGGGGAATTTCTGTGTGCCAGGCATAAAGTGTAAATGGATTTTCACAGCCCTCGTGTAAAGGCAAGAGGTTTAGGTGTTACACAGAGGTGTGAGTTCAGTTCCAGACCACTACGATAAAGATAATGTAGTAGTAATACAAGGCACGTGAAGGGTTTTGTTTTGCAGTACTTTAATGTTTCCGCGCTAATCTAGTCCGCTAAGGAGCCCTGGGGCATCCTCTGTCCAATAGTTAAATAAAAGCTTGGTGTTTCACATCTCCCAGCTGCTTCCCAGGACAGACATGGACAGTCTCCTCCCTAAAGATTTATGGTCAGAACCACAGTGGAGGGTTTTTATGAGTCAGGATCGATTTGACAGCAGTGGGGTTTTAGGGAGAGGTCTTGGGGAGGGGAGGGTTTTATTGAGCATGAAGCAGCATTGTGACAATGTCTTAAATACTACAAGAATTGCCCAAACGTGGCAGACATGAAATGAACAGGAGGAGAGCACTGTTAGCTTTGCATTGATGCTGGGTTACCACAAACCTTGAATTCCTTTTTAAAAAATAAGACCTGCATTATCTGTGGGGCATGGTTAAAGTTTGCCTTTACTGGATTTTATATCTGTAGGGACTGAGACACAGAAAGTGGAAGTCATACAGTCAGCATGTACTTAAACCCAAGCATCCTGATACTGGACCTTCACTCTCCCCTCCCCCTCCGCCCTTCACTGCTTTTTCTTTCTCTTGAGTTCTGGTGTTACCGATTTAGAAGAGAAAGGCCAAAAACACTCCGCCATTCAGTGGGTTCTGGCTCCTAATAGCTTCCATCAGGTTTGTGTGGCTTTAAGAGATGGGAGGAAACTGCCTGCCTTTAGTCTTGGAGCAGATGGTGGATTCTTGGACCTTTCTGTTAGCAACCCAATTATGGTTAGTGGACTTAAAGAAGAAATCAGAGAGAAAGCTTAATGCAGCTTTATTAAAGGGAGGAAGGGGAGCTCCCGGGTGAGTTCCTCATCCTGGAGAGGCAGAATGGGAAGTCACATTGTGAACTTCCTGGGGAGGATTTTTATAAACAGAGTCTTTAGGGAGGGACATTCCACTCTGATTTACGAGCCACCTGCTAGCTTAGCCAGACAGGCAAGGCTGTTTTCTTATCAGCAACAAGCAAGGCCATCAGCATTTGAGTTCTGAATTCTTTATTCTTCTCTTTGCCCAGACTAACATCTTAGACTCTTTTTAGTGATAAAACAGGGCGACGTATCTTTCTTTGGGCTACTCCCTGCTGAACAGGGGCGACGATCTGGGGGTTCAGAGCCTGGAGTGAGTCAGTCTGGGATTAGTGGCCAGGGGAGAATTAAGGTGGTCATCTTCTTGATCCTGTAAAGTAAAAACTTAAAAGAGACATGGAGTGATAAATAACAATATGCTTATGATTACTATTGGTCTTAGAGATGGAAAATTTAAGTTAGAAATGAGTTTTTTGGGCTGATGGAATGGCTTGAGGTGTTTTGGTGGAGTGTGGTCTAGAGAAATTGGTACTGCTGCTAGCAAAGGTCGTTGTAAAGAGGTACACAGGAAACAATGGGAAAGATTGGTTGCCGTTTGGCTTTGGTTAAGGAACAGTGAGGTGCGGGTGTCCTGGATAATTGGGAACCAAGCTGGAGCCTGCATAGTTTGTGGCTCTCCAGAGGCTTGTTGTATCATTGTCTGCTTAGCTTGGAGAATGTCACTGGAGGCTTCTACTTGGGTATTGGCATTTAGAGCATAGGAAATTTACTCAGTGAGGGGAACATGTTTGACTTGAGAAAGGTTGTGTCAGTGGGGGTTACCCATGACTTTAATAGCTGTGGAAGTGGTCAGGGTGACTGCACAGGGTCTGCTTCGTATGGTAGGAGAGGCTTGGGTGCCTGCTGTTTGAGAGAATGGCGTTTCTGAAGTGACTTTAGTGGCTTGGTCCAGACCTTCAGATGCGTCTGGGTATACAGCGGTGTGAGTGTTTTTCAGAGTAATTGTTTAAGGAGACAAGGCACGATGCCAAAAGAAGGGGCTTGGTGAGCAAGTTACAGTTTAACAGAAGTAGTTGGCTGCACATCAGTTGGAAGGAATTTAGAAAGGAAGGTGAACAGAGTGTTGTTCAGATACAGGCTAAGGCAATAGGAAGTAAGGTAACTTAAGACTTGTGTCTCTCTCTCCCTCTCCGTCTCCCTCTCCCTGTCCTCTCTCCTCTCTCCTCTCTCTGTCCTCTCTCTCTGCCCCCCCCCCAGGTGCTTTTAAGCCAGAGAGTGAGAGGACATAGACATACATAGACTTCCAATTTTGCCGAGTTTTCAGAGAATTTTAATATGGAATCAGGGCAGACTCCAAGGTAGAGAGATACATGAAAGTGGACAGTAAAGAAAGAGTGTCATTATAAACCCTTGAGTATTTGCCATTTCAGTTCTTATGTTTTGAAGGACTGATGGATTGAACAAGCCAAAATTAGGTTACACAATTTGAGATTGCTTTATAAATCAGGTGAGATGTTGAGACTGTACAATTTTTAGGGGAGGGCTGTCCCCGGGACAGGTCCCCAGATTAGGCATAATGCCGGGACAGATCCTCAGATTAGACAAATATAAAGTACTGTGCTGTCAACTCCTTAGATGCTAGGGCGGGGGAGCATTTTAAGAAGAGTACAAATGCAAAACGACTCGACAGCACATAACAGCAACAACAAATGCAAAAGCCATGCTTGGGGAGGATAACATGGCATTTAGCTAAAGTGGAATGCTTGTTTGGAAAAATTCATGAAAGAACATTTGGAGAGAGAGAGAGAGTCATCAAGTCGACTCCAACTCACCGTGACCCTGTGAACAACAGCTCTGAACCCTCCCCTGTCCGCGCCAGCCTTCTGATCGATCTCATGATCAGGCCCCTTGTAGTCACTCTGTCAATCCACCTTGAGAAGCTTCCTCACTGCCGCCAACCTTCTGCCTTTCCCAGCATAATGTCTCTCTGGTTCCTGAGAGGCAAGGGGGATAAAACTCAGTCTCACTCACTTTGGGCTTATTATTCTCAGGATTGGAACAGGTCAGCTTCTTAGCTGAGAGAGTTTTCCAAGTCCCACAGGGACTGGGCAAGTAGAAAGAAGATGAGCAAAGAACTGGTCATTTTTCATTGAAATGCCTGAAATTGTGGATTATTATGTTACCTGGTAACCATTTGCATTTTTTTATCCTTTCTCCCAGGAAAGTACAGATAACATACTCTCCATTGTTAAGCAAAGAACAGGATCCTTTGGAGATCGTCCTGCCAGACCTACACTCCTGGAACAAGTGTTAAACCAAAAAAGACTGGTAAATATCTTTGAAAATAGTTATAAATGCATCAGCAGTTGTTCTAGATGGAGCTGTTCAGATCTCAAAATGGAATTGTGGCTCTTTGCCAGTGTGAGCTAGAGTCTCACCTCTCAAGACAGAGCAAAGTCACTTAATCTTGTTTAGTCATTGATTCCACCTTGACCATCTGAGTGAGATGGATCGAACAATTCTTTAATGGTATCAAAGTATAACTTAGGAGGGAGTTCTGTAAATCTGGATGTCAGGAAAGGGAATATTCCATACATGATAGCATGATTAATTAATAATTTGAAGGGGCAAAGGATTTAATTCATCAAACTTTATATAAGTTCCAAATACATGAAAGACATAACTTTTTTGGAAGAAAAACAAAATGGATTTTTAAGTATCTCAAAATGTTCTAACTTAAACAAAATCACAAGGGAAAGATAATACATTTGATTACATAAAATGAGTCATTATTGTTGTTTGCCGGATCAGAACAAACTTCCTAGCTGGCCCTCCAGTGGGTTTTCAGAGGCAGTTAATTGAGCATCCTTTTCCTGCAAAGCAGCTAGCTGATCGATTCATACTGGTTGCAGCACAGCTTCTTACCACTAGGCCACCGATATATGTCAAAATTGGTGGCCAGAATAAAAATGCAGAATGACATAAGAAAAATATTTGCAACAGATATTTTGAAACTATGGTTAAAGTGGTTGATATTTTTATATTAAATATTATATTCCTGTGAATTGATAAAATACTGGCTTCCAAACAATGTATAAGATACATATATGAGAGAGAAAGTAGTATTGTTACCATTAAATGATATAGAGTGGTATTCAATACTTATAACAGTAACACGGTTACTGTTATAAAATGGTATAATATAAAATGGTAATAATAAATGGTATAAAATGGTAATAATTTTTTTTTCTTTTAAAAACCTCATTTACCATCCATTCAGAACTGACTCATGGCTGACCCTCCAGGGAGTTTTCAGAAGCAGTAAATCCTACGGGAAGAGATTGCCCATCTTTCTCCCAAGGAGCAGTTGGTGGATTCAAACTGCCTTCCTTTGGGTTGACAGTGCAGCTCATTATTCTACCATATGGAGAAGTACTCATTATCTATAACAACTCAATATAACAGTAATAACACAGAATGATAGTGCAGCATGATCTGCAGGGCCGAGTGAGGTGGGCATTCCGGTTGGTTTCGTTTCCGGCATTTATCTTGGAGCAGGGCTTTCAGAAGGCAAATAGATAAGCAGTCTGTCAGGAGTCTTTAAGAGGGTCGTCTGGTTTGGTACAGAAATCATGCTTAAGTGAAGACATTGACAGAAAAATCTTAAGGATGGATAAAATTACGTATGCGTTAGAATTTTTAGTAAAATAATTGAAATAACCTAATTGTCCATTAATCTTCTAATAGCCAATGATCTATTTACTTAATAAACTGTTGGGCAATTGTTGGAATACATTCCCCCCCCCCCAAGATTATAGTATTTATTAAGGAATTAACACTTCACAATTCAGGCTGACTACAGTATAGTTTCTCAGTCAGGACAACTTCTGAAGCATGCTTGTAGGCCTGTCAGCCTTTTGGTTGTAGGCCAGTCCTTACAGAGCTCTCTCAGTCCTGCCAGTGAAGGCCTCTCCCCCAAGTCCTCCAGCTAGCTTGGGTGAAGGCCCCTAGCCTTAGCTCTGTGGGGCAGCAGTCCCGGTCAGCTCTGCCTCATGTCGGGCCTCGGTTCTCTGCCTCAGATGCTGGTGCTCTCCCGTAGACCCGGTCTGCGTGGCACAGGAATCTCTGGCGCCAGAGGACACACTGCATTCTCTGCTGCTTTCTTGCTGGTAGTGAGATTGTCCGTTGGGATAATTTTTTAAACAAAACAATGCTGTGATGTAATTAACATTAGATCTTGAAATCAGTATTAAATAATAGTATTCCCACTTAAGTCTGTTTATCTTTATTTGATTTATTGGGTTCAACTTTCTTTGTTAGTGTAATTTTTTAAAAAAATAACCAATTCATTTGTTTGTTGTATCATTAAAACTGTATTTAAAACTGACAAGTGCATTGGTTGTTTTTGAGCATTTGTATTCTGAAGTTTTTATAATGAGCAAATGTTATTTTATTTGGGTCTTTATGCAAATATATACAACTATATGGAGATAGATAGATAGATAGATAGATAGATAGATAGATAGATAGATAGATAGATTTATTTCCAAAGTGACATTTAATTGCCATTTTTCATGTAGGATTTTGTTGGGGGTTTTTTCCTTCCCTTTCTCTTCCCCTCATTGCTCGAATTCTGGTCCAGCTCCATGCTTGACTGTTCCATTTTGTAAGGTGTATATGTTGGCATATTAACTAAAACATTTCCTTTTTTACTGAACACTGTCAGTGACTTTGGGCTTCACCCATTATTTTGAGGTTTCGCTTTTTTTGATGTATGACATCTCATTTTATTAGTAGTAGTTTTGAGTTTGTTTGCATTTGCAAGTACAGAAATCAATTTAATTCAAGTATGTTTTGTTTTAAAAGCACCTTGTATCTTAAGTGGAGATAGATCAGAGTATCTCTTTAGCATGGATACACTCCAGTCACCTAAGAGAAATGGTATTAATAATCTTTTTTTCTTTGTCTTTATCCTCTTTTTAGTCATTACTAAGAAGTCCAGAAGTCGTGCAGTTTTTACAGAAACAGCAGCAACTACTAAGTCAGCAAGTTCTGGAGCAAAGACAGCAACAGTTTCCAGGACCACCGGTGTGAGACTATTTCCTGAGAGAACCTGCGTGTTTTGTACCTTAATGTTGTAGATGAACTTATTTTTATACTAAAGGGGGCTAGGGTCTATTGGTAGAACATAAAAAGTCGTTTTCCTGTAAATGTATTTGTACATTTGGGGATAAATAAGTATTGCACTTTGTGCATTTGAGCTTTCTAGTTTGTTGTGAAAATTAAAAAAAAAAAATTTAAAAAAAAATCCGTATACCTGCCCAAAATTACATTTAATTACAATGTCCTTTTAAACAGTATGTTGTCCTTCAGTCATTGTTGCTGAAGGTAATGAAGCAGCTGCTTTCTGTGGAAGTCATGGAGTTAATAAATACTGATCTTAAAAGCATCCCGTGTAGTGGTTCTCTCCAACTGGAAATGGATTTTTTCATTGTCACGGTTACCCTAAAGACTGCCAGGTTTTAGTTTGTGATTTAGGGATATGTAAATACGTAAATACTCTGCAATATCTGGGATAGTCCCACAAAACCAAAAATTATCCCACCCACAATGCCAGTTATACCTTCTGTTAGATGCATTGACAGCTCCTGGTCATGGTAACAAGTAGCTAAGACACCTGGAATTGGGTTTAGTTAACTTTCCTTTGCAGTTAAGACAAGGTAAGCCGATTTTCTCTCAAGGAAAATGCTCATTGTTACTATGAGATTAGACGCTGCGTCTCTTCGCAGTGATGTGCTGGGAGACCTTCAGGTGGCTTCTCAGCCGACTGGCACGGAGGCATTTGGAATGCTAACTTCTCTACTTCCTGTTACCTTTTAGCTTTGATGTCTTTGAAAGCAGACACATTTGGATGTTGACTTTGTAGACAATGTAGATGTAGTCAGGACAGAATTCTTTTTCTCATAATAATTTCTTTTTCAAAAAAGATCTTGAATATGAGTGGCATTCCAACAATCAACAATGTTTTTGAAAACTGAGCTTTTTAAAAGACTCTGTTATTCCTAACATTCAAAGTAGTCTGTACAGACTTTTATTTCTCGCGTTTTTCTCCTAAGAAAACTTTTAAGAAAGGAAGCCCTATCCACAGATTATTAACATAAATGCCAAGAAAGATTTCCAGTGTCAGTATAATTGATGTATATGTCTCTGGAAACTCTATAAACTTTGATAGATGTTTATTGTTGTAGAGGGTCTTCAGGCCTTTTGTTCATAGGGTCGCTATGAATCGTGCTCAACTCGAAGGCAATCAACACCACCAATATTGAGTATAAAGTTGTTGGTTTCTTACACTTTTAAAAATTTGAAGTATATTTCAGTGTAAACATAGACATGACTGTTCTAAGATGTATTTATGAAAAGAAAACCCGTTTTCATTTTGTATGTGTTTCCTATCTGTGCAAAAACACTTTTGCCATAATTCATTAAAATCCAAGTTGTTGTTTTTTTTACCTTGGAGTTGCCTAGTTCATTTATTCTAAACCGGGAAGTGTTCCTTTGTTCTGTTTTAAACAACATGTTGAGATGTAATTCATACTGGAGGCTCTGTGGGCTTTGATCTTCTGCAGTGTTCTTTACATTCTGCAAGCAGGGTTGTGCCATTTGCGTTGTTGTTGTTGAGTGTGACTCCCAGTGACCCTACGTGTCCTCTGCATAACGTAGGTTAATTGAACAGGTGTGGTGAAAAGGCTACAGCCCTGATGCTGAGTCTTCAGGTGCCCTGAGGGTGATTTCTGTAACACCTTCTAGAGGGCAGCCATCTGGAAAAAGCTTATCTTGTGACTTGGCTCAGATGGAAAAAGCTTATCTTGTGACTTGGCTCCTAACCCCATAAACGCCTGCTTGGAACCCAGCAGTGTGTGTGTCCACTCATTTGTATAATCTCGATTTTAAAGACACCCTGGATTTAAAGAAGCACCTGTCAGTTTGAACCAGCCAGCTGCTCTGTGGGAGAAAGGTGAATAATGTCTGCAGTTTGTAGCCTCCTAACACTTGCTGGAGGCTTTGCTGTGAACTTGACAGCAGTAAGTTTGAGTTCTAAGTTGTTTCCTTCCTCAAAGTGAACAGACACAGGCTCTTTCCCACGCCCCTAAACTGACCTACAGATAGTCCTGGAAAAACCCCCTCCCTTGCAGAGACAGCTTTGGAAAGCACCTAGCCCCTGTCTCCGGCATGCATCCACACAGGACAATCTATTTTTTTCCACCCCTGCTTCTTCCTGTGGGAAAGTCTGCTGTTTCCACTTGAACCTGTATCCAATGTTGATTTTTCTGCAGTTCCTGGCAGAAGCTTATTTTTCCAGTAACATAAGTATCTCATTTTCCTACACATTCCTACCTGGTAGCAGTTTACCCGTGAACATAGCACCTGTCCAGGCCAGTTCTTAGTCCTGAATGAGGGGAAGGGCCTATTCTAAAGAGCAAAAGTCAAAAAGGAGACACAGCAGCTGACTGCAGAACACAGCTGGGGCAGAAACAGACCTGCCCATGAAGACCAGACACATCAGACCTTCATGTGACATAGAAGAGTTCACCTTTTACTTTAATAAACTAAAAGCCCTTGTCATCAGGTTGGAACTGACTCAGCAGATTCCCCATTGGGTTTCAAAGGCTGTAAACTGCACAGGAAGATTGCCCACCTTTCTCCCTCCGAGTGCCTGGTGAATTTAACTTTTCAAATATTCCATTTTTCACATTCACTTAAGTGAATTTAAGGTACAAGGATCTCTGGTGTCATGGTGCACAGTTAACCCACAGGTCAACAGTTTGAATCCACCCGCTGCCTCAAGGGGAAAAAAAATGGACCTTGTTCTCTAAGATTCACAGCCTTGGAGACCTGGTAGGGGGCTACTAAGAGTTAGAACTGACTCAGCTGGGGTGGGGTTTTGAGTATTTAAAATACAGAAAAATCTCCTTTGTTGTTGTTGTGTACCATCGAGTTGGAGCTGGCCCTCGAGCAGGTCTCAGGCAGTAAATTACATGGGAGGAGATTGCTCATTTTTCTCCGATGGAGCAGCTGGTGGATTCGAACTGTGTAACTTTCATTAGCAGTGCAGCTCCTTACCACAAAGCCGTATGACCACTGCTTGGAATATACTCTGAGAAAATGAGAACCGAGGCACAGAGACTTATACACCAGTGTTCATAGCAGTGTTACTCATCATCGCAAGAAGATGGAAACAGCCCAAATGTCCAACCACAACAGAATGGATTAAAAATGATGGTACATTCACATGATGGAATATATGGACATGTTGTAAGGAGGGACCACTCCTTGGAGAGGGACGTCATGCTTGGGCGGGTGGAGGGACAATACAAGAGGGGAAGACCCTCTATGAGGTGGATTGATTTAGTGACTGGGGTGATGGGGGTGGGTGTGTCGGAGACAGTGCGATTGGCACAGGATAAAGCAGGGTTTAGAGCTGTTGTACAGAGTTGCTATGAGTTTCAAGCAACTTGACGACACATAACAACAACAACTGTGTAATTTGGAAAGGCACAGGAAAGCATTAGGCTAAGTGAGCTCTTCCATAAGGACAAATATTGTAGAAGAAGACCATAATTGAATAATGTGTATGAGGATCCAAGGGGGGGAAGAAGAGGGCTGAGGGTGGGTGTCAATCATAAGGTCACACAATTTGATGGGTGGGTGGAGGTGTGAAGACATGGGAAAGATCCGTGTGAAAAACAATGTACATGAACTTTGTAAATAAACCAGTTTGTTGTTGTGGATTGCCTTCGATTTGAGAACGACTCAGCAAGCCAGCTTTTGTATGAACAAAAGGCCTGAAGCCCCTCTACAACTCATGACATTTATCAAAAAAACCAGTGTGTGTGTGTGTGTGTGTGTGTGTGTGTGTGTGTGTGTGTGTGTGTACACCTTTCCTTGCTGCTGAAGAGCCAAAAGAACTAATTCCAAACTGAATTATAAACAAGCTTCTCTGGCCCCCACAGCTGCAGCGTGGTCACCTGACATGCAGCTGGAGGCTTGCAGATACTTTTAAGTTGTTACTGTTGAGTCTGGACCAACTCAGCTGACCCTCCCGCAGGTTTTCTGAGGCTGTAGATCACACGGAAGTTGACTGCTCATCTTTCTCACAAGCAATGGCTGGTGGATTCGAACTGCAAGCCTTTGGGCAGGCAATTTCCTTACCACAAGACCACCAGCTGTGGTTGTTATTGTTGTTAGGTGACACTGAGTCAAGAAAAACTAATAGAGACCCTATCAACAAAAGGTTTGAATCCTGTTCTGTCCGGTACCATCCTCAAACTTCCTGACACACTAGAACCCATTGCAGCAGTCACCATGTCAATACACCTGGTTGAGGGTCTTCCTCTCCTTAGCCCACCCTCCACCCTTCCCAATGTCATGTCTCTCTCCAAGAAATAGGCCCTCCTAGCATCATGTCCAAAGTATGTGAGCCAAAACGTCATCATTCTTGCCTCCAAAGAGCACTCCAGCTGCACCCTCTCCAAGACATATCTGTTCATTCTCTTGGCCATCCATGGGATGTTCAGTGCTCTTCAACACCACAGCTCAAAGGCATCAATTCTTTTCCTGTCATCCTTATTCACTGTCCAGCTCTCTGATGTATAGCAAGTAATCAGAAAGACTATGGCCTCAATCAGGCACACCTTAGTCTTCAAACTAACATCACTCCTCAGTAACTTGGATGGGCCCCGAACTGCTTATTTTCCGAGTGCAATGAGTCTCCTTATTTCCTAACTACTGGTAGCAAGGGTGTTAATTGTGGATCCAAGCAAGATGAGGCTATTGACAGTTTCAATCTTCTTTCTGTCCATCATGATGCTGCCTTCCGGTCCCGTGGTAAGAATCTGTTTTCCTGACGTTGAGATGCAATCCGTACTCGAAAACCATCGATACACAAGATCACCAGAGCACTCTATTTTGAAGTGTAATGAAAATATTTTTTAGAAAAAGCTGGAAGCAAATTCTATTCAACTATTATGTTTTAGGCTCACTCACGCTGAGATGAATGACGTTTTACCATCTTCGCCTCCAAGGACTTTGGTTGC